CTGCAACTAAAAGTTACAGTCATCATTTGCTAATTGGATGATTTGAGGTTTGATATTCAAACATTTTTAAATCCACGTTCTGAAGTGGATTGTGAAGGTTTTTAATGGAATTCTTCTTCAACTGCTTTATAAAGGTATAGATGTAGTTTTGTACTTTAAAGGGCTCGCAGTATTCAGCTACAACAGAAAATGAAATTACAATTTGCTGCATGCTTGTTAAGGTTCTCAGTCATCCAGGTCATGGTAATCCAAAAGGGTTCGACTGAAGGTAACTGGACTTCTGTAGTTTCTTGAGGACGTTTCGCTGCACATCCGAGTAGGAGGATCCGAGGACAACACGTGTGAAGATGACAAAGCACATGTTCTGGACAGAGAAGATGGTTTGAGAGAGGAGTAAAAGAAGCCATGTATGTCATACGGGAAAGACCAACATTAAACTGAGGAGGGGGCCTCACCTCTCCAGCACCTATAATGCAGCTCTGAACCTAAATCCAAAACAGTTTCAGTCTAGATCACACACTCCTGCATTTAATCAAAACAACACTTTTGATGCAATAGGTCCAAACAACATTAACACCTTTGTGTAGGGAGGAGGGCTATTCATAGGTAGTTTCTGCTCATTACACAACAATAGACAGCTACAGTTTAAGCTTGACCCTCCTAGTTAGATTTGACAAAGCTCCTTGAATGAGAAGCTAAAGTACAGTTGCCTTAATTTGAACAATTGACTGTATTTGTCATCTTCTGTCATCTTTTCTTTTTCCGTGGGCTTTCACGCTGCTGTTTCACAACAAGTGTCCTGGTTTTGTTTTTGATTTTTGTCTCGCGTCTTTCTGATCAGCAAAAATAACCCAAGAAAATGCTAAATGATGATTTCTTTAAGGGAGACGTTCTGTCCAAATCTGGCCTAATGTGAAAAAGTGAATGCCCCCCTGGTAAATTTCAAGTCGATTAACTACATTATTTCTCTGGCTGAGTTCAGTTCCACTTGCCACATCCAGGCGTTATTACTGTCAAACATGTATAATTAACAAATTCCTTCATCACAACATGAAGCAGGCTAAAAGATTTCAAAAAGCAAATCCTCACGCCCGGCTCTAAAGCAATTCTAGTACAAAAGCACAGAATTACATCTAAACGATTACACGCATCACTTGGTTAGTGTTGGGGTCAAAGGTTAGGAAAGAAATGGGAGAAATAATAGGGAGCCTAAGTCTCCCGGAACAAAGAAAAAATGAATGCAAGTGAACGGAGCTAAAAGCTTTTTTCTAATCCGCTTTGCCTTATGCCCTGAATCACACACATGTACTTCAATTTAAATTACAAATAATTTGTTTTTTTACTCTGCCTCGTAATTTGAGATTTATTAGCTTGTAAAAATTTGTAATTAAAAAGACTACAAATCAGAAGTGGCACACACGGTGTCACCGTGGAATCTGTTCTTCCCCAGCGTAGCTGCTACTTTCCACATGGCCAGGTTTATGGTGGTTTTCCCCACTTTTAAAGATGTGGTTCCCTGACAAAACATTTTTTAATTATTTTTAGTTTTTCATGGACTCGCCCATCTTGACTCACATCGGGGAAGGCTGTTGTTGGTGTAGTGTTCAGGAAACTGCAGAGAACATCTCTGCTGGTAGAAGCTAACAATTAGCATTAGCAACTCCACCACATGGCAGAACTCCTTCAGGTTTAAAGTATTTGTGGAGATAAAACATCAACATAGCAAAGCAAAAGGAGTCAGTGGTAGAATTGTGTTGCTGTTATTCAATCAGATGAGATGTACAAAAATAGGGAGCCTAAGTCTCGCCCGTCTACTTACGGTCTATGGGTCCCCAGAAGAATGAAAAAACTAATGCAAGTCAAAAGGTATAAAAATGCTATTTTCCAATTCCGCTTGTTATGTCTACATTTTGATACCAAGAATGTGCTTATTTTCAAATGGGGGAGACCCTATTTTAGGTTTTTGTGAAAATAAGTTCAGGACTACAAATGCGCTTCACGAAAGTGACGTCATCGAACCAGACGTGGAGAAAAACAGAGGGAAAATGGCCGTAAGTTCAGCCAACTTCAAATCCTTCCTTCAGGAGGAAAGACCCACCATAAATCTGACCATTTGATAAGTGGCGATGTCGTATATGCGACGTGCCGATATCTGGTTTGTAGTCATGCCAATTACAATTTTTTACAAGCTGATAAAATTCAAAGTACGTGACTGACATGGTTGAAACACACTTCATTACTTTTCATTTAACTATAAGTATAACATATGTGTGATCCAGAGTGTGAAGCAAAGCAGATTCGAAAATGGCTCTTTTAGCCCCGTTGACTTGCATTCATTTATTTAGTTTTTCTGGAGACCCACGATCCGACCGGAAAGGGTGGAGACCTGAGCCTGATTCATGCTTCTCCGTCTGCGTCAGTGCGGAGACACGCAGCGTCCTTGCGGGCCTGCTGGAGAGCTCCGCAAGGACGGACGGAGTCGAGCTCTCTTTTCTAAACATCCGTCAGTCGAGACGGACAACGCAAGCATGTGATTGGTCAGGACGCCGCTGTCGTCTACACCGCCGCCATTGCGCCCTCAAAAACATAGAGAGCCGAGGATAACTAGCGGCAGACGCGGAGCAGCTTGAAGAATACCTCGCGAAAAAACTCTAAAAACATGAACGTTTAATTCCCCCGTGACTGGAGGAGTTGAAAGATGCGCAGCAAGCGTTTTATTTGTGGACGGAAATGGCAGGAAACGTGGGTTTAGAGGTGGCGAGCGCATGAAGAGGTGGAAGAGGATGAGAGACAAATTTGTCTGTGTTAAAAAGTCTCTTATATACACAAAAAACACAATATAAACACACTATCTTGGCCTGGATACTTGACAGGATACCACAGAACAGCGCTACGCCCTCTGCTGTCCTGGTGGGGAATTGCTTTGCAACACTCTCCAGGAGACGAAGTATGAGAGCAAAACGTTTCTGTCAGTCCGTGCGTGTCTGTCCCTTGCGGAGCTGATGAAGAAGCATGAATCAGGAATTAGGCTGCCCATCAGGAAATAAGACTCCAAATGCTGCCGTCTGAAGCTACAAGTGTATCTGTGCTTTTTTTTATCCCCCTGAATATGATTAATAAGGCATTCATTCCTACTAGAGACCACTATTTATTTGTCGTAAGGTAAGAGGACCCACTCGAACACGAGATGTTTCATCTCAAGCGGTTTCATCCTCACGAATTATAAGTTTATAAATAAAATAAGTAATAGACCCTGCAAATGTAATAAACGAGTCAACCACATCTTGAATGCGCTCTCATCCTAAAAGAGGGATTTGAAGCTCGCTAAACTCGGCCCTTCTCCTCTTCATGTCTGGTTTGATGACGTTAATTTGGTGTGACGAGCATTTGTAGTCTGTCTTTTCCCACGAAACCTAAAATAACTTTTGTCACCTGTTGAAAATGAGCACTTCATTGGCATCAAAATGCGTCTTTAAAATTCACGGCCATCAAATGTCAAATCCATATCAAACGGGATCAGAAAATACCCTTTTTGGCTCCATAGACTCTCATTCCACCCATGGTCCAGAAGTAGATGGGCGTGACTTACGGTCCCATATGGTCTCCGTGAGAAATCCAAGGAGGAAACCTCTGCTGACTTTAAAACAAATCAAAGACCTGTCTCACATTTGCATCTGTTTAACGTCTTAATGCCCAAAGACTTGGACGAAAATAGTCTGTGAACTGATGAGACAAAGTGCAACTCTTTTGTTACCTTTACCAGAAAATACTGAAGTAACATGTGTGACCTTTGACCTTGACTGGAAACCCTCCAGTGGGACATTTCTCCACAGTGATGAGACTTATGATTTATTACAAACGCTTGATTACAGCGGTTACTGTTAGAAGTGCTTATCAAGTTTTAGGTTCATTTACTTTGCCTCCTGTGACGTATTCACACGACATGTTTTTGTCTGAGTTGGAAATTTGTTTGCTGACGAAAGAATAGTAAGGCTGCAAATCTTAACATTAGGTGTTCCTTTTAATGAAGTAAGTAAATAAGGAATCTTTCCTGTTAGCAATTTACGCGGCAAGCATTTCCATTTGAACGTGACTTTAAAAAATCTGCATATTTGATTCTTCGTTTTTGAGACGCACTACCAACTAAAGCAGGGGGAAAACCCTGCATTAAAACCGCTGCTCAGCATCATCACCATTTTTAAAATGGCTAAAAAGGCAGGTGCACATAATTATTTCTATTAATTTAGCATTAAAAGAAACGTGTCACTTCTTACAGCCACGTTTCAAAATGGTGATAATCTTTCTGTTGCATTCATATAAATTGTAGCTAAAATAGATAATAGTGGCTAAATTTCCCCTGGAGGCTCAGTCTAGCATCATAGGAACAACACCTCACCTAGTTTAACTTTATTTTATTTATCTTTTAGATCAGAGGTTAATTTATACAAGTAGATCTAATGCAGAAACTCGCTGAAGTGGATTATCGCTTGATGGATAAGATAATTATTTGATAGCGCATCGGTTCCTGGTGTGATTATCGGAAATAACCTCATCAGATAAACAGACACTGTCACGCATCTCTATTAATGGGGTCTTCTGGGAAAAGTACTTTTTAAATACAGCTTGGCGCTTCTGTTGCTGATGAGTTTCGGCGAGCTCTAACTCAATGAGCATTTATTTTCTCTCTAATTTATTTGCTGTTGCGTTTCATTTCCAGACCAATTCACCCCGATAATCAGATGGCAATTAGTGAAGCATGAATCACCGAGAGCAGCTCGGCTTAATCTCTCTTCCATGACACCTGCATGTTCACAACAACACAGATTGGGGATTTATTCCTTTATTCTAAATGGAGATGCTTTTTGATTTTACTTATTTCATTTCCAATTCAACATAAAATCAACTTTAACAAAAATTCTAATATATGCATCTTTTGTAGGGCTTTAGAAAAATTTGTACATAAACACAGATTTGCTTTTAGTCGGAGAAATAAAAACTCATTGTGAACATTTAAGAATCTTTAATTCACACTAGTAATAAAATTGCATTACATTTCATAAAATAAATGTTCCAGTTTATATATACAGGGAAAACAGACTGTACATACCCTCCAGTGAACCATTTCTGAAAGAAAAACCAAAAGCCTGAAACAAATTTCACACAACATACAAGCAATACAGTGCTCAGCTTAGCAGGCACAACTGTACATCAACATTTGTAACTGCTCAGTGTTGGGGCGTGGGAGGGGCAAAAAGATGAACATTTACAATAGAGTCCTTGGGTTGTGGGGGCCGATAAAGGGGTCTTAAAAAGTATTGCAGGCAAGCAGACGGACGCTTGTCTTCTCCGAGTGCAGCGGAACATCCATCGTGTGTAAAGTGAAGAGCCGATTGTTGCCACCGTGGGGTTCCCACTATTGAACCTGCGTCTCAAAGCTCCCGTTCAGCTGGCCCTCCTCATAGTCCATTTGACACAAAATCATGTTGTTTTTTAGGAAAAACTTATCCCCAACGCAAAACCTGTCGGGCGAGAAAAACGGACAACCGTTAAAGCAGAAGCAGCCATGTAACCGGAGTGTGCAACAGCTGTGAGCGGGTTCCGTTTGTCATCAACCAGCGATGTTGGTTCAGTCTGATTACATCCACGTTTTGGAGACTTTCTCCATCTCGCACATCGGGACTGTGGGCCTGTCAGATTGGCAGCCTCGTTCTGACTCCTTCAAATGAAATGAGATTAAAAGCCCATCCTATTTGAAAGCAAACAAACACGAGCGCTGGCACCCAATGAAAGGCAGGTCAAATGGATGGAGGTCTCCAAGGAAACTCTGCCACAGGGTTAGCTTTTCAGACACCAGTTTGGCTGCGGTGTTCCAAATCATTTTTCCTCTAAAGTCTGAGTCAATTGAAGGGGTGTGTGTGTCTGTGTGTGTGTGGTGGTGGTGGTGGGGGGGGCACGCACAGAGCAGCCTGTCCCACTGATGTTTCCCTCTATGCTGCTGTTTGTTTGTGCAATTCACTGGATACAGCTCCATAATGTGACTGAAGGCGAGTGACGATAAGGACATAGCTGAAAATAGCTTGGCTTCAGTAATACACCGGGCTGCTAACACAGTAAATAAAGCTGGTAACCGTCACAGCCATGGCAATCCAGTGCCAGATGAGGCCTGGCTTTGTGTCTGCCAGCTGAGAGGAGAGGCTGCAGTCATAATTCCCTTACAGCAGGTGTTCACTATGGTAACTGAATCTGGCCTGCAGAAGGTTAATGGGCTTGTGCTGTGTGGAGGAACAGGGTCACAGCACCCCTGACAAGCATGCAAAGGACTCTCTGACTGCTGCCATTACTGACAATGTATTAATGGGAAAAAGCAATATTTGGCTGTGTCACATTCCATGTACATCACACCATAGGCTTTGTGCTCATTCCAATTTCATGACCTTTTCCTTTCAGAGACACCATGTTACCCCGTCTGCTTCTGGAGAACATCGTTTTCTGTAGCTTTTTGTAACTCACACACAAGAACTCATTTTACATCCCGCTGGCTTTAAAGATTTACAAATCTAGCCACAAACAAGGACAGACTGCTGGCTGCGTTTTAGAGATAATTAGCCGTGTTTTACAAATGCACAACGACACAACCAAAACCTATTTTCCCCCCAAGTTTACAAGCTGTGTAGTTGCACAGAAACCTATTTTGCAGCTAAAAACTTAAAATTTCAAATTATTTCTTTCCCAGCAATGCCTTTATTATTTAAGCTAGCAGCTATTTAAACATTCCCTCCATGCTTATTTTTTAAAGGCAGTGCATTTGTGAAGTTACGATCCGGATTCCTTACCTCTGGTTACAAAGCTGACAGGCAAAACAGTCCAAATGGTAAACATTATCTCTGGCTCTCATCACCATTTCAAAGGCTGGGATCAGTTTACTGCAGGCTGCACAGTTCCCCGTCGTACCAAAGAGCCTGAAAGACACAGAAAAAAGAAAAATTAACCCATTTTGTTTATTTCTTACCTTTGGCTTAAGAAACAAGCTGCAAACAAAAGAGGAAAAAAAAACTGCTTGTAATGAAAGAACACAATGTAAAATACAAATTGTATCTTAGTACAAAATTAGGTGATTCAAATAAATGATCAAATGCTTTAAAATACTTTATTTTAATGAAACATTTGAAGAAACTAAATATTTAAGTTTTTTGTTGTAGGACTTTCCCTTGAATTTTATAATTTTATTCTCAATTTTATTGCTGCAAGTATCAGGTTTGGTGCCTTATCTCTGGCTTGATCTTTCTATTTCACACAACAAAAAAACTCCCCGAGATGACAGCTGAAAAGTAAAAGCAACGTTTTAGTGTGAACAGAATCAAATTTCACCACAGGTAAAGGTAATAAAGACGAAACAATTTTGTCCAGCGACGTAAGATAATATCTGCACACCAAAAGATCAATATTTTGTTATGAATCAATATTAAAAAGCAATGCGTCAATTATTATTATTTTTTTTAAATAGAGAATTTGCAAGCAAACATTAACGGTATTTTGTGAGGTGTAATTCTAACTCCCGCAGCTAGGTGGCAGCACTTTTAGCCACCTTCATTCTGGAACAAAAATATCTTTGTGGGGCTATAAGAGCTATTTTCTAATCTGCTTTGCCTTACGCCCTGAATCACAGAAATGTTGTACTGCAATTTAAATGAAAATAAATGATGTGTTTTGACTCTTTCACATACTTTGAGATTTATTGGCATGTACAAAGAGACTGCAGAGTCTCTTCTCCCCAGCGTAGCCAATAGCGGTTTTAGGCACGGGCAGACCGGGCAGTTGCCCGGGGCGGCATTTTTTCATGACACAAAAGGGAAGCACAAGCGCTGAGTAAAAAATAAAAAAGGAAATCTGCACCGCACCGAGGTTTTCTATTATCTGTCATATCACAGTGTCTGGATTGGAAACAGCAAGTTGGCGCCCCCTGCAGCTACAGGTGCTCCTGCTGACTGAGAGGGTTCAGGTGCACCGTGTGTGTATGAAGAAGAGAAAGGGGAGGGGTGCGGCGGGTGAATTCACCTCTGGGTCTTTCCCAAATGAAATGAGCGGGTAGGGGCTGAATCAACCGTATTAACCTGGCTAAAGTCAATCACATCTTGATGTTCTTCCATTTAACGCACATTTCATTCATATCATAAACACAGGTCTATCGTTCTTTCAGGTTTTTCTGAATTGTGTTAAATGGCCAAAAAAAAGGAAAAACAAAACGGTTTTGTGGTCACCCCCCCATCAAGGTCAAATTGTTTAGTCCTGACTAAAGGAAACTTACTGAGTCAAGAGCCAAACAGAATAGATGAACATAAAAAGGCTAACCACCAGGTGCCCGATTCAGGAAAAAAAAGAAAAAAAGAGGAGAAAGATAAAGGTATGTACACTCTCATGATGCATGTTTTCAATTTTTTGAACCAGTTAACTGGGATTTTAACGGTTAAATTTGGTCAGCTAATTGCTAACAGAGCTAATAGGGCTGAAATATTGAAACGAATATTCAAATGGTTCGAAAAAATTCCTTGAATTGTTTTTTACTGATTCAAACTAGGATTTGTTAAATGCTCGCTGCAGCCTGTGGCCTGCCTGAACAACAACAAACACATGTTGATCATGTTCACATAATAATAATGAAACAACTCTACAAGCAGAAGAAAACTCCACAGTCACCACTAACTATCCTGTTTATTTATTGCAGATGGCTGCACTGATTATTTTTACATGATTTGTTCTGTAAAAGTTGGCATTTTTGGTAGTCTAAAGTTTTTTTTATGTCAGTTTAAATTACAATTTCAGAGGCAATTCTAAAATATTATGGATCATGATAAAGATCTATTGGAGATCTACCCCAACTTTTGGACTGCTCTGCCAGTCACTGTGGCTCAAGCTGAGAGGAGCTTTTCAAAACTTGATCAAGTCATACCTGAGGTCAACTATGTTTCAGGGGCGGCTCACTAACCTGGCTCTGATTAGTATCAACCACTCAGTAGGGGAGCAGATTTCATATGATGACATTATTGATGACTTTGCATCAAGGTTAGGTTTTAATTTTAGTTTGTGTTTTCTGTTCTAAGTGCAATGCTGTAGTGATTATCTTTAGTTTGTTGTGTGTGAAATATTTTTGCTATTTAGAATATTTATTATATATTATGTTCATATATTCTTAATATTTAGTTATTGTTTGTTTTTGTATATTTGATTCTATATATTTTGATACAGTATATAATGAATATTGCTTTACATTATGACAACTTCATAGTAAGTAATGTAAATATGTGACACTTAGAAAAATGAATGTTCAATAGTCGTTCTAATAAAACATGCCTTTGTAGAAAACATGCGTGTGTGCGTGCAGGTGGTGGTGGTGGGGGGTGGGAGCTCAAAGGGGGCCTCGCCCGTGGAGTAATTCCATGTAGAACCGCCACTGAGCGTAGCTGCTGTTTACCACATGGCCAGATTTATAGTGGTTTTCTCCACGTTTAAGGCTCCTTCTGTTGGTCTGGAAGAAGGCTTCGAAGCTCGCTAAATTAATCTCTTTTTTGTGTCTGGCTTGACGTCAGTTTTGGGAGACAAACATTTGTAGTCCTATACGTCTGTTCCCACAAAACCTAAAATATCTTTTGCTGCCGTTCAAAAATAAGCGCCTTCTTGGCATCAAACTGTGTCTTTCAAATCCACGGGCATCCATGGCACACATAAAGCAGGACTAGAAAATAGATGTTATAGCCCCGTTGACTTGCATTCATTCTTTCTTTGTTCCAAGGATCCATGGTACGCAATTAGGCGGGCGTGACTTGGGCTCCCTACAGTGGTTGTGTCTTGGAAGCATCTAGGCTGTTTTTAGATTAAGTTCAGTCCTAAAAATCACATATCATCTGGCTTTCCATATCGCAGTATATGGTATCGCCTCCCTTGAATCATGATAAATATCAAATCCCCCCCCCCCCCCATACACACAAGCAAAGCAAAGGAAACTCCAAAGTTTTCCCACAAGATTTACATTTTCATTTTTCCCCACTCTTGTCCCCCTCTTTGTTTAAATTGGAAGATTCTGGAGCACACATGGATTTATATATTCCACCGCAGGAGCAGCAGAGATTCACAGCTTTGCGAACGGAGGAAGAGACAGCAGCCGATTGTCATTCCAGCTGTATGTTAAACACTTCCCCCCAAACTTGTAGAGCTCAGACGAGCCTGAGTGTTGAGATTCTGCCTAGTTTATGCTTGTCCCATTCAGTTACTTTCACCTTGTTAGGGAAAACGTATATCCAGCAGCTCTGCTCCTAATTAGGGGCCACTGCCCCAGAGGAGCAGCAGAGACAGAAACGGAGAAGGAAAGGTTGTTATGTTCCATCAGAGAGATTCACAGGGTTCTAAACCGAGACATTGTTACAATTGGTTAGTGCTTCAGTAAAAATATAAACCTCAGTGTTCTCATGCAGTAGGCATCTGCCACCCACAGGATGCTCTGGAACACAAAGCTTGGGCTTTTTTTTCCTTTAGAGACATAAACTCTTTTGCTTAGTCAGACGTCTTAAAATAAAATAAAAAAAGAAATCTTCAACATTCCGTATTGATCCAAAAACATACCAAACACTGGTGCTGCACCGAATGAACTTATACATGCTGTGTGCCCTCATTTATAAGGTGTGTGTGTGTGTGTTCGCGCACGCACGACTAGCTTGCTCAAGAAACAACTGACTTAAGGAAGACTGTTTCTTCTCTTTTTCCTAATATTGAAAAGTACATTTAGATGATAGGAGAGAACATTTCTTTTTGGTAAGAACTCGCAGCTCTGATTCATCCTCCAGCCCTCTCATCAGATGAAAAACACTCAAAAAAAAAAAAAGAAGTTGCGTGTTTGTTGCTTGTTTGGTGAAAGTGCTACAGTAGTGTGCAAAAACACAAGCCTTGTGAATTAAAAAAGGACAATTTAAAGTTGTTGAAGAAAAAGAAAATTAGTCTGCTGGTGCCTCTTTGGTTAGAGAGCATGAAATAAGCATGTTCATATGAAAGAGAGGAGCATAAAGATAATGTATGATCTCCTCTACTGTCAGAAATGTTGAGAACAGAACCAGTTTTAGGCCCGTTTCCACCATCGACATATAAGTACTGGACAATTCATTTCCATAGGCTCCAATAACACGTTTTTGAGGCCAAATGGGAGGTGGCCACCACCGCCATTTTGACCGTGTCACAGGTTCCGTCAAGCCCAGACAATTCCACAAAAGGGAAGACCGGTGGAGCTGAGGGTGGGGCTGTAAAGAAAGTTAAGTAAGATGCGTTTACTTCATGATCTCTAGCTTATTCTGTAAACATGACTACAAGTTGGAGGGGTACGCCACACTATCATTGCAAAACTGTACAAATGGATGCAAATCTCTTAAGAATTATAGTTTAGTCTAAATACACTCGTGATTTTACGGTGGGATTGTTTCCTGATCTGCAAAATAGTAGGTAAAAGTTAAACAAGATGCGATAAACTCATTATCACGAGAATTTGAGAATTAAAATCTAATTGAACCATTTTTCACAACAAAATCAAATTCTTGCATATATTGATCCATATTTAACTTGTTTAATAAAAAAAGTTACATTCCCACAATCATGGAGTTAATGTTTCTTTTAAATTGAGATGTTTTTATCATAATTTTAGTGTGATAGAAACATTGTGTCCAAGTGTTGGCTCACCCATAGTGATGTCCTTTTCAGTCTTTAGGGAAGAAGACGACCATGGATGACCCTAGGGTGCTAGTCACCTACACACACTGTTAAGCACGTATTTATAACACCTTGACGGACAATTCTAACCCCTCTATCATGTCCTGCTGAGCTGCAGACATATGCTGCTCACTTCATACATGCAGCTCGTATAAACACCTGGTGGGGAAGCTCGGCTTGCAGCTGTTGCAAACTTCTACCTTCAGAGAAAGTC